AGAGGGACATTATGCTTGGTAAAGTGGAGGGTCAGCAAAAGAGAGGAAAGACTCTCAACCAGATGGATCGACACAGGGGCAGCAACAAGGGGGAACAGATGTGCCAGAGATGATGGGGCCAGGACAGGGTTCAGATCTGTTGTGCATAGGGTCTCTATGAAGCATACTCTACTCAACGACACCCAACAAGAACAATAATACAACCAAAGCAGTTGGTGGCATAGTGTGTTACTTGTTGAGCTGACTGAAAGGCTGCTAGTTTGAATCCACCAACAGTTCTGCAAGAGAAAAATGGGCCGCCTCCTCTTATAAAGATGCATGGCTTCAGAAGCCCCAGTGGAAGGTTGCCAGGAGTTGGAATGCACTCAGTGGCAGTAACATGTTCAGTTCCAGCAGCAAAGGTAGGCTCTTACTAATTGAGTCACATGGGACCCTGGTGATATCAAATCCAAAGCAGCCAGAGGCAAGACTTGCTGGTGATGTTCAGAGGGTAGACTGGTTGTCTAGTGTATAAAATGCTGAGCTCAATGAACCCAGTTCTCCAGTAGTACCCTTCTCCTTCACTGCTATTGTTACGTGCTGTCACATCAACTACAACTCAGCAACCCTGGGAACAAGGGCTCTGAACCTTGTCCTACCCTGAGCCAACCTCACTATGTCTGACACACTTGACCCACTGCTACAGTCACTGTGTCAATCCATCTTGTTGAGGGTCTTGATCTCTTGCACTGACCCTCCACTTTTCCAAGCAGGCATGATGTCCTCTGAGGACTAGCCCCTCCTGACAACATACCTCAATTATGTGAGATATAGTTTCACCATTCTTGTCTCCAAGGAGTACTCTGGCTTCACTTTCTCCAGGACAGACCTGTTTGTTCTCTTGGCAGTCCATGGGCTAGTCAGTACTCTTCTCCAGTGCCACAGGCATCCTCAAGTCATTTATCATCAAGATTTATCTGGGTATCTCCAGTGGCAAGTCTGGTCTTGAACTGGTAGGAAAGATCTAGAAAACAGACCCCAGGGACAGGTATTTCAACAATGCTGCAAACACATTTCAAAAGAGTTCAGAGTCAGGAGTCAGAATTCAAGAGACTGACCAACCATCCTGTTTCTGATCATTATCAATGGGGCAAGCAGAACCCTGGTGGTGCAAGTTAAGCACTTTGTTGCCAACTGTAGGGTTGGTAGTTTGAACCCATCAAGTTGGTCTTTGAGTGAAAAACTTCATATTCTGTTCCCATAAAAATTATAGCCTAGAAAAATGACAGAGTTTTCTAAGTTACACAGGGTCACAATGAGTTAAAATCAATACTATGGTATATAACAAAACAGAGCAGGAAGTGAGGCAATGAGTAGTGGGTGAACTGGATAAGACCAATGACGGTACTTCTATCTATGCCACATATCATACTTAAGTGGAATTTGAACCAGAATAGGGAATAAGAGGGCAGAGAAATCTGGAAGTCAAAGAGATTCACTGGTTTGATTATCTGTTATCTTGACAGTTACCGTCAAAGTTTGTGGATGGCCAGCTCTTCTGACATCTCAGAGAATGACCAACTTCACTTCTTATGATTCAGTAAAGTTTCTTCTGCAAAGAATGATAACAGTAGCTGGAAGAATAAGATTTAGATGTTGCACTTAAGAAAGTTTCATGACTCTTGAGTAACGACATCATCCCCTGAGGAAACTGGTTAAGTCTGATCGTGTCTAGTGAGGGGAATTGAAGGTGAGGAGACAGGAATGGGAGAGTTTTTGTGTGTTTGTTTGTATGCCTTTTATACAAAATAAAAACAAGGACATATTCTCTCATGTTACCTTACCAGCTTCTTAGGGCTTGGACGGTAACACGGGTCAGAGCTGAAGTAGACAATTTCCTTATTCAACACTGTGAGGATGAGGTAGGGGGCTGGCAGAGGAAGGATTCAGAGAAGAGTGGGTTGAGTCATGATCATAAGGGCAATTCAAGGATACAGAAACCAAAGGAGCCAAAAATAGTCTTTGAGGTTTGGTTCAAAATTAGAAGATGAAACAGCAGGCAGAGAAGTAAAAGCAAATTAATAAAGAACTGAAAACTGTCTGAGAAAAGCCAAAGACAAGTTAACTTGGGCGCGATGCACAAGTGGATCCATGAGATCTCAGGATCAAGATCTCAACAGCCCAGGGCACAATTCCTGTGGGTGACTATATAAGGGAGAATACTGTATGAGAAGGGAGTTATGGTGGTCTAGAGGCAAGAAGCTGTGCTGCAATCCCAAAGGCACATGGCTGAGGCCACCAGCTGCTCTGCTGGATGGACAATCTCCTCTAATGCAATTAACTGTCTCTGAAAACCTGCCCCAAGGGGCAGCAATGGGTTGTTTCCAACTCTATGGTACATGACAACATTATATAAGAACTCTCCAGTCTGGGACACTCCTAGATCATACTCAAGCCTTGGATTTAGTGATGGGAAAATGACATATTGTAGACGAAGTCTTAGGGCAGTGACTTTACTTCCTCCAACTCTGTGAGGTATCCCAGGATTTATCTTGCTGGATACTTTCTGGAAAACTATGCAAAAAGGCAATTGGTCATGGTAACAGTTCAATCTGACTGACTACTACTCAGGTATGACTTAATAAACCGAGTCCTTTATACTAAAGTCACGTGGGGCAATTTGAATTTACACTCCTGATTACGTGTTTTCTGTTGCTCTAGGTCTACAACCTGTGTCGACCAACAATCATCGTTCAGTGTCTCTGGCAGGATTATTCCTGTTCTTTTAGGACTTCTGTGTCACAAGTTAAGGATAACACCTGTAGGTACTGTTGTGGAATTCCAGTTTGAAACCAGGAGCATACAAATATGCAACAAATTATTATTGGTTTGAGCAAGGGTCAACATGAGGGTAAACGAGAAGCTGCACAACTGAGCTCTGGGGGCTTGGCATCTAAAAGACAATGTCCCTAGTGGAAAGTGATTATGGGGAACCCAGGACCTCCCCTGACTTAGGAAGACCTGCTGGGCCTGAAATGAAATGGCTAAGTAGGTAGGAATGGTTTTCTTGCAGCATTTTTTATTTGCGGGATAAAAGTGAACTTTCAAGTCGTCTCAAAACTAACAGGTGTTAGTTGAGAACTTGCTAATTTTTTTTTTTTAAGTGGGGCAGAGACTGGGAAAGAACAGAATGAAAAGTAAATAAATTGGAAAAAACAAGTGTTGGGCATTTAACTATTGTTTACTTTCTTATTAAATAACAGGAACTTTTATATGAAACAATCCTTGGGTAAAACACAGATAAGACACTGGAAGCCCAAATCCTGTCCCTATCAGGCCTTTTGAGATATTTCCAGTCTGTGTGGTGTGGTCTGGCATCCACTTGGGCCAAGTTCTATTCCATATGCCTTGGTAGACAACCAAGAAGAAGAAAGAAAAAGTAGAGTCTGAACTTCAGAGACTGTTTTTTTGTTTAATGAAAATTAATTTAATAATTTATTATAATGAAATAATTTAAAAAGTAGATTATTACCAAAATTATTCCAAATTATTAACCTGCAACATCATTTTTTTTAGACTTTGCAATTTCAACAAGTGACATCATTTTATTACTAACACTGGTTCAAAATCTCATGCTATTCCACATCCTGTAAATCTTTTCCTCATTTCTTAACCCATTATCTAAAACTCATCCCTTCTTCAGAACCCCAGTTCAAGAACCACCTCAGTGATGAAGTCTGCCTAGCCTTTAATGATCTTGTTTCTCCAAGAGGGTAGTGTACTAGGGGGGAGGGGTGGGAGGGGAAAAAAGTGCAACAATGAATGAACAGAAACCCAAACTCTCTGTAAATTTTTACTGAAATTAATAATAAATTTAGAAAATGATCTTGTTTATAACTTCATATTATTAATACTCAGCAGTATCCCAAAACCAGCAGATACCAAATGTGCCGCTGCCTATGACTCCAAATAAATAAAGACTTTGACAATACAGGTGTTGTTAGGTGTCACTGAGTATGACTCATAGTTGACCCTGTGAACAAAAGATCTGAAACAAAAAAAAAAAAAGATCTGAACCCTGTTCTATTCTGCACTATCCTCACACTTGCTGATATGCTAGAGCGCACAGTGACAGTCACCGCCATCAGTCCACCAGGTGGAGGGTCTTGCTCTCCTTCGCCGACCCTCCACCCTTCCTAGCATCATGTTCTCCTCCAAGGAATAGCCCTTCCTAGCAACATGCCCAAAGTATTAGTCAGTGGAAAGAGGTTATTGTGTGGGAATCAACACACAGCAACCACAATCAGGGTCTAGAGAATCATCTAAGCACCCTCTCTGCACATAGTAACAGTTTAGACCTGCCAGGTTCCTTGGTTTGCATTTCCTAAGTCCAGATACTTCTCTTACAGCACAGGGAAAACAAAGTACTGGAATGAAGGCTAGTTTTTCCATGTAGGGTGGGTCTTGGAGTAGAGCAGCACTGCTGGCCAACCAATCATTCATGAGGGACTCTCTCATTGGGTCATCTGGGCTAGATCAGTCCTTAAGCCCAGAACATCTCACTATGTCAGCATGGCACTGCCTTCTGTACCATGCCTTGGGCCCACTGCAAAGCAGGCTGGAACTGCGGAGCTCTGTGCTTCTCTCAGAAGACCAGGCCCTCCTGGACAAAGATATGCACATACCCAGAGTCCTGTCTCCACTTCTCATTGGCATGATCCTGAAACAGAACTGTTGAGAAACAGGGAGCAGGACAGCCACAGCAAGCCGTCAGGTCAGTGGAAAGATCCAAACTCCCTAAGCAAAAGAAATGAAGAATATGTAAGTATCAAGCGTCAGCAACCAAGAGTTCTTCAGAGTTGTGAAGAATAGCAAGGAAGGTGGCCCAATAGTCCAGCAAAAAGTAGGAAGGAGGAGTGGCTGAGAAGCAAACAGATGAGTAAAAACAAAAGTGAGTTACAACTGAGGGTGTTTAACACCGCGGCAGCGTCCTAACTCAGGTTCCCTACATTACATTCCTTTCACCAAGGTGTGAACCAATCTTGAGCTACTCTGGTGGGAGGGCTGGCTGATGAAGCCTGAATAAGCTGGCTGGCAGGGCAGTAGGTTTGGGGATGAGATCCAGGCAGAGGCAGTTCTCCACCAACTTCACTCTGGAGATGACTCCATGTTTCAGAACTCTTTACTTTTTTCTTCATAGATGAGCTGTTTTTCCTAGTTTCCTTTGAAAGGTCAGGCTCAAAGTCAAGTTTTGGAGGTCTAGGTTCATTCTTCAAAACACCCGATACAACTTTTGGAGACACTTTCCTCATGTTTAAGTTTTCTTTCAGAATGAGTCTAACAGTTTCCTTGTCTAAATTTAACTCTTCAGCCATCATTCTCACCGTTAACTGCCTGTTTGAACAAACCAAGTCCTTGACTTTGTGGATATTTTCATCTGTCCGGTGGGTGACTGGACGACCACTTCTCGCATCATCTCTAATATCTTCCCGTCCTTCTTTAAACCTTTTGTGCCAGTCAAAAATTCTGGCCCTTGACATGACTTCGTGTCCATAAGCTTCTTTTAAAAGGTGGTGAGTCTCGCTTGCAGACTTGTTCAGTTTCACGCAAAACTTGATGCTAATCCTTTGTTCTAAATAACGGTCACTCATTTTGGCACTTAAGCAAAAAATGAAGGGAAAGCAGAAATGCAATTTCTGTGACTGCAGGCAGACTCAAGTCGCTATTCTTGTTCCAATGCAAGCTTCAAAGGAAAATTACCTCTAATAATTTTACGATAGAGTAATTATTTTCAGAGTTTTTGCTCCAGTTCAAGGTGAAGAGGTTTGCGCGAAGTTAAAGAGGTTAAGGAGCAGCTGCAAAGCTGGAGAAAATGACATTTCCTACAATTTATGTCTACTTTCAACCCGTGCATGCAGTTCTGCTGGGAGTTCGCAAGTCTGTTAGAACGTCAAGATCCCGCAGCTCGAGTCCTCAGTGATTTCTGCAGTACAGGCCTAAGTAGTGACAACTTAAGCAAGCAGAGAAATGCAACGATGATGTAACGCGCTAGCTCGTCCTGGGTCAGCAGAAAGCCACGCACATCAAACCTACCGGAGTAGCCTTTGGGCTCGCTTGCAGGAGTCCCGGGAGACATACTCGCATGCGCAATTCCCTCCCCTCACGTGTTAGGCCTTGCGCAGGCGCATTGCGGTAGCCTCGCACCAGGCCCCGCCTCCGCCCTACACGCCCTAGGCAAGCGCGCTTCCTTGTGTTGCCCGCCCGCCCTCAGAGAAGTCGGCGGAAAGGAGGGGGCGGGGAAGGAAGGCTGAGGGAAGAGAGGGCACCCCCGGGCTCCACGGTGCATTGTGGGAAGGAGGCGGCAGCGTCCCGGGCGGGCGGGAGGTGCACCAGCGGCGGCGGCGGCGGTAAATCCTCCCGGCCGCTCACAGCACTGTGGAGCCGCGTCCCCAGCCCGGCCTCGGACTGCGGCGCCCCTCCTGCCCCT